CCGCACGGCCCCCTGGCGCCCTGGGCGCTGCCCGCGCAGGGCTGGACCCCGCCGGAGCCCACCGGCTGGAAGGCGATGGCGGGGGGCACCCCCGACTGGTAGGCGCCGGCGGCCGTGCGGCTGGGCACGATGGGGTTGCCGGAGAAGTACTTGCCCTCGGAGACCGGGGCCCCGGCCGCCAGAGCGGGCGCCGCGGGGCCGCCTCTCGCCGGGCTGTCCTTGGTGAAGTAGCCCACCGGGTAGATCTTGCCCCCGCTGTAGGTCATGCCTGGGACCAGGTAGCTGCTGGAGGAGCCGCCCACCACCTCGTAGCCGCCGTAGGGCTGCTGCACCGAGGCGATCGGGGGGCAGGGCTTGCCCGCGGGGCCGCCGTTGCTGCAGGGGAAGCCTTGGACCGCCCCGGGGCCCCCGGAGCCGTGCTGCTCCACCACCACCACCACAGGCCGCTTCCCGCCCGACACCGAGTGCGAGCCGGAGATGTAGGAGCCGGAGTGCGAGACCACGGGCCCCCCGCTGCAGGGGGAGTCGGGGACGTCGGCGCTGCAGGGGCGCAGGCTGGAGCTGCCGCCGCCGCCCCAAGACCCAGAGGTCTGGAAGGAGTGCGAGCCCCCTGAGGCCTGCGACTGCGACTGCGACTGCGAGGAGCCCGCCGAGGAGTGCGAGGCCGAGGCGGAGTTGTCGTCGGTCGGCAGGGCCGAGCCGTTGCCCGGCCCTCCCCGGTTGGCCCCTGACTGCGAAGAGCTGGAGGAGCTCTGCGAGCTGAAGCTGGAGCCCGACCCGGAGGAGTAGCTGAGCTGGGAAGAGCCCGGTCCCGGCCTGAACAGCACAGTTCCTGAAGAGCCGCCCTGGGAGACGCTGTGGCTGCCAGAACTGGAAGTGGAGCTGCTAAAGCTGCTGCTGGAGCCCCCGTGGCTGCTTCCACTGACGCTGCCGCCACTGGAGCCGCCACCACCTCCGCTGGAGCCCCCGTGGCTGCTGCCACTGGAGTCACCCGTCACAAGGAAACAAGGGTCATTGGGCGAGGTGATCCGTGTGGGGTCCTTGCAGGGGCCTGCAAGGGTCCCGATGCTCTTAGCCAAGGTCCCTGGGAAGAGAAGTAGCAGTCAGATAGGGCCAGAGCGGATCCCAGGCCGTCCTCTCCCTGTGGTGTCTCCTAGGAGGGGCCCTGTGGAGTGCTGGGCCAGAGAAAAGAGAGACCCATGTCACTGGAAGACATTGAGGTGGTGGTGGGAGAAGGACAGTTTCACTGTCCTAGGAGTGAGGGTTTAAGTAGGGAGGAAGGTAGACACCAAAAGCAGACTGAAATCCAGACTTCCAGGCACTGAGGGAGGAAGCAACAGATAACAGTGGAGGTGAACCAGTCGCCCTGAAAGAAGGCCCAAGTGGGGGCTGAAACAGCCAAATCCAGGGAAAATTCCAGGGCCAGTGCACGCCTGTACTTCCAGTGCTCTTGGAGGCTGAGGCAGGAGGACCTCAGGCTCCAGCCCAGCCTGGGCAGCTTTGTGTGGCTCACAGAGAACCTGTCTCAAATAAAAAACAAATTTCAAAGGGCCAGAGATGTAGTTCAAAACGCGATAATGACACTATTCCAGAGCCAGGCCTTTTATCTTCCATAAAAGGGAAAACGATAGAGGGCTGAGGGAATAAAGAAGATAGATGCTGAGGGAGAGAAGCCAGTGGCGAGGCTGGCACAAAGTGCAGGGTACTGGGGCTGGTGAGATGGCTCAGTGGTCTAAAGCACCTACTTAGAACAAGCTTAGCAAAGCACAGGGACCACGGTTCAATCCCCCAGCACCACATGCCAGCCAGCCCTGCCCCCTGGTGGGCTGAGCTGGCCACACACACACACACACACACACACACACACGCGCGCGCACATAAAAAAATTTTTTTAAAAAAGTGCAGGGTACTGGAGGGCTGGTGTTGTCACCAGCTCTCTGGAGAGAGTCCAGGCTAGGTGACAGATGGGAATCCTGCTTCCTGTGTCAGCATTGGCCACGCCAGTAAAGCTGGGCAGGGGCCAGGATGTGGGGGCACTTGCTGTTGCTTCAGAACCTGCCGGTACCAGTGTGACAGGAGCCACGCCCTGAGCCAGCTTCTCCCTCATGGCCCAGCCTAGGGACACGGACACGAAAGCCTTGTTGGAGCCCATGACCACGACCAGCCACTCTTGGCCCGTCCCTCGCTTGCCTCAGATGTGGAGCCACCTCCTTCCCTCTCTACCGCTCCCATCCCCGGCTCTGCTCCTTGCAGCCTCTCCTTATGCTGTGTGCTACCCCTCCAGTCCCCGGTGGCATGAACAGAGCCACACGCCAGCAAGTTAGGAGACCCTGCTGGGCTTTGACCTGAACACCAGGCGACTAGAACGGTCCCAGCTTCCTCCTAGCGTTCCTGTGGAGATCCTTGAGATCATCCACCCAGAAGATGCTCTTAAACACACAGACCTTTGGTCAACGTGTTCATTGTTGTCACTTGTCCCTGAGCCCTGCAACTACCAGCCCTCCACAAGCCGCGACCCTCCCCTTTCATCCTCTGCCAGCGCCTCCCCAGGCTCTGCCACACCTCTGCCTGGAGTTGGCCAGGGCTCCCTCCCCAGGGCACTGGACACCCCGCTGGGCTCCCAGCCCCCACCCCAGGGAAGGTCACACACAGTCCTGGTGGGCTGTGAGCTCAGTGCCCAGCATGGCATCTGAATCTGGCCGGCTGCTCCTGTGAGCCTTAGTTCCATTCCCGACCCCTGAGCCTCACAGTCCTTAGTGCCGAGCTGGAATAACAGGTCTGTCTCTCAGTTCTGGTAATGATCAAAACTGCTGTTATGACAGAAAAAGGACTCTAAAAACAGCAGCCGTTTTAATGACTAGGAAACACCTGCTGTCCATCTCCCAGCACGGCATCCCCACCCTGGCAGCTACACGACCCTCTAGACTTCCGGGACTCACGGCTTGCACACGACAGAGACGCACCAGAGAGGCAGTGCTGGGTGCTGTTCAGAAGCCCTGTAGAGCTCAGAGCCCGAGGGTCAGGGACTCTAAGCAGCCCACTCCAGGCCACGAGGTCTCAAGGAGCTTCTCCGGCCTCACAGGTCAGGCTCCACTGTCCCTGCGCCGGCCCGTTGCCTGGTTCTGTCCTGAGACCCTGCAGGCCCAGCCAGCTGTGTGCTGGATCCAAATCCCTTCTCCCCACCCCCAGGGCCCCAGCCTCCTACCTGGCAGGAGGAGACCAACCAGCAGCAGGACCGTCACCCCATGCCCTCCCACGCGCCCTGCTTGGGGTGCCCGAGAGGAGCCCATCGCGGACCGTGCAGCCTCTGACTGGCGGCAGCCCGTGGACACCGGGCCTTTATGTCAGGGCTGGACATTCCCTGGGCAGGAGTCATGGGGGAGGGGAGGGGCAGCAGGGTGGGTGCCCGGGGGAAGCTGGTGTGGCCAGGAGGAGCTGAAGCAATCAGCACGCATCTGCCTGCTCAGCAACAATGGTGTTCATGCGGGGGACCCGAGCCGCGAGACCTGCGCCTGCCACCTGGCTGGCCTCCCCAGCTCCTCGTTGCCTAACCAGAACTCGGCGCTCCGCTCATGGCCACCCACTCTGGGGCGGCCACTCTCACCCAGCGACCTGGCTGCTTCCCTCTGTACCTCCTCAGGACAGGACCTTCCTGTCCTCGAAGGTGTGGGCGCCTAGCTTCCCTCTGCACGTGGGAAGTCCCTTGTCCCACCTCCCTGGGGTGACGACCCACTGGGGTTCCCGTCCCCAAGTGTACATTCCCTTGGGACCCCACCCTGGCCTCCACTTTCCTCCTTTGGGCAGGAGCATCCATCCCCACTGTCTTCTCCCCCGTAGCCACTGCCCCAGGCCAGCCTGCCACGTGCTGGTCACCTGTCCCTCGCCCTGCTGCCTGATGCCTTCCTTCTGGGGGCTTCAGGGAAGGTGTGGAGACCCAGAGTACCAGAGCTGGCCTGGGCTGGGGACCCTGTCACTGTTGGGGCTCAGTTACTCATGGGCTACTCACAGCCCCTCCCCCAGAGGTGACCCCGAGTCCGCAGGTGAGCAAGAGGCTAATGAGGCTAATTGGGAGGTGGGGGCCTGGCCCCACATGAGCTGGCTGACCGCCTGGGTGAGCGAGCAGGAAGTGGCGGCTGGCGGACACTGTCGGCAGCACTCACTCGGGAGGGCTGGGCAGGTTCTTGGCCCCTGAGGACTGAGCACCAGGGCTCTGCAAGAGGGCGTCGGCTTCTCCCTGTGGGCCCCTCCCTCCTGCTCTGGCCTGGCCCCACCCTGGCAGATTGCTCAGAGCGTGGCCCAGAGTCTCAGTATCGGAGGTGGGCCCAGGAGTCGCTGCTGCTGCTGCTGCTCCTCCTCCTCCTCCTCCTCCCCCTCCTCCTCCTCCCCCCCTCCTCCTCCTCCTCTTCCTCCTCCTTTTTCTCTTTCCTCTGGTGCTTCCTCCCCAATCCGAGCTCAGGTCC